GGGAGGGAGGGAGGGAGGAAGAGACTGAGAAAGAGAGACAGAGACAAATAGACAGCCATCGTGATGGAGACGCAAAAGCAAATACCCGGACGGTCAACGCCAGCAGGCAGAGAATGACGGAAGAACAAAAAGCAGGACGCCCCCATAAAGAAAAATTGATGGCCGCCGCACCATGATCCTTGGTGATACTTCACCTTCGGGTAGGCAACGACTCGAGATTAAACGGCAGACAAAACACCTCAGCTTCGGTCCAACAACCGCATGCCCATGGGTACGCTGCTAGAGATGACCACGCCCGAAAATTGGTGTCATCAATCCGCAAGACGACTAAGCAGCAGAACAAGACCAGGAAGCAATAGGGCCAATCTCGCCGCCAAGAAGGCCCATCTGTAGCTTTGGCCAAGATGCTTGCCGTTAGAGGGAACACACCAACAAACAGCTACCCTACATGTCACCAGGAAGACCAGGAGGAGGACTGGCGTGTACGACTACGCGCGCACTTCGCAAAGGACCGCGCGGGGAAACACCCGGATATGGTCAAGTCCTCGAAAATTGGTCGTGCAAAAGCAACGGGTTTAACATGAAAACGCGAGAGACCGCAGCCGACGTGCGTGTCTGTACGCGCAAGCGCAAGCGCACCTGTACACAGGGCCATGCACATGTAGATCTTCTTCTTGTAGTGGAACACTTCTCTCAGCTGGATGATGTTTGGGTGATGGAGCTGTTGAAGCATCGCCACCTGTTGGTTTCGTTGTTCGCGGTTTTCGTTTCGTGAGAAAAAAAAAACGGACAAAAAATATCGTGAACAGTAACGAAAGAATGCCTCAAAACTTGGAGAACTGAAAACCATGGAATATTACAACTAGTCCTGTAAGGACTTCGTCTTTTTGGTAATTCTACTATAGCAGTAGGCACAGCGCAGCGATACCATGACAACAACACACACTTCCCCGCCCTTGGTATACCCGCGATCGAAGGTCTTGGAAGCTCTCTGCTGTCGCCCCCGCCGCCGCCGCCGCTGCGGCGGTGGCGACGGCGGCAGCATCACCAACGGCACCAACCCAACAAATTTACACGCCAAAGAGGACGCACGCACACACAATTCAACCCCTCCGGGAACAACGGAACGGCATCAAATTCCCCGCATACCTCGTTCTTGAACTCTTCCACCCGGAGCTTGTGAAGACGCGCGACGTGGATGGACTTCATGGCGTACAGGCGTTCACCCTGGACACCCACCACCCCGCAAAGACGGCGGGCAACGACAAGAAGGCGGCACGCGCGGAGGGCGGGCGGGCAAGCGGGGAGGGGCGATGTTGGTATTTGAAAAAAAACTGTCCAACCTTCACTGTCACAAGCTCACCGTGCCCGCAGGATCAAAAGGCCCTCTTCAGGAGGTCTAGGAAGGGTAAGGGGGTGGCCGCAACATACCCCTCTTCTTTGCCCAAGAAAATGGACTCGCCTGTGACGAAGACGAGACACAGCCACGACAGCCTACAGTCGACATCGAGCTTGACGCCCGGCAACACATTCCAACAACAGAAGGTGCGGACTCTCAACTCAACGCCATTGTAGGTATCTCTCTGTCTGTCTGTCTCTGTTTGTCTCTGTCTCTGTCTCTGTCTCTGTCTCTGTCTCTGTCTCTGTCTCTGTCTCTGTCTCTGTCTCTGTCTCTGCCTCTGCCTCTGTCTCTGTCTTTGTCTCTGTCTCTGTCCCTCTCTTCTCCTGCCCTGCCTTCGGCCGTCTTGACGCTTAGGTGTGCCTGGCTGCCGCTACGGCATGCCACCCTTACCCGTACGTCTCCCTTTCGCTCTCACCGTGCCGCCCGACGGGGCCGGCGGGGGCCCCGCGGACGCCCCTTTCTCTCCCCCTTCCTCGTCCCCGAACGAGGGGTCTTTGAGCTCGATAGGCGGCGACGTCACGTAGGAGAGGTCTCTCGGGGCGCCCGCCTTGCCGTGGTGGTGGCCGTCGAAGAAGCTGTTGACGCGGCCGTGGGCACTGCCGCCGTGCGCGCTAGAGCAGAGCGACTTCCGTCGAACGATGGACACCTCGCCAATGCTCCCTTGCCTTTCCAGAGTGGTAAAAAAGATGAAAATGAAAATAAGGCCAGGGAACCGGTACAGCAGTACAGGGTAACGAATAAACAGAGGGACGGCAAGGGAAACAGGGGGGCACGGCAGACAGGGAGAATAAAAATGGAAGTACGTGGGGACAGCACACACGCGTGTGGACGGTCGTGAAAAAGTGCATCCAATAAGTGCTGTAGGCACGACTGGCCCCACCCGAAGGCCCCCGCCGATGGCAACGACCCGCGCAACGGACCCGTCTCCTGTCAATAACGTCCTTGCATATATACATACCTACCGCACAAAGATATGCGCGATTTCTTCACTCCGCCCCAAAACCTTCCTTGGTACTGGAGCCATCAACGAGTGCTTGTGCTATGTCTTTTTGGGTATAGCCATGTCCTGCGGCGGGTGATGCTGTTCGTTGCTACGCGAGTTGCGGCCAAGGCCTCGTGTTTTCGTGCTTGCCCGGCAGCTCTCACGTCGCATATTTCACGGTTTGCACTCGAACCACAGGTACAGCCTGGACGACGATGTTTTTCTCTCTCGTCCGCCGCCACCGATGGTGGCGGTGGTGGTTTCATAAGCGACGCCTGTAGCTACAAATCATAGAGCGTGTACTACGTACTGCAAAGCGTTCTACGAAAAAGACGGGAATGAAGTTGGATGAAACGGTCGTCTCCCCGCACCACGAGTCCCTGCACTACACCGAGCACGGGTCCAAGCATGAGGGGCACCGAAGCAGCAAGCGCGCATGCGTGAGCACGGGCCAACAGTGCAGGTTCTCTTCCGGATGGATCGGATCCACTGCTTTTCTCGGACTCGGGCAGGGTTCGAAATTTGAAATTCTTGCGAAATCGACTACACGCACGGCGCGAACAGTCGTGCGTTCAGGGGGTTGAACCGATCAGCAACCCAGCTCCACCACCAGCGCGGCAACATCAGAGTCCCAACAATAACAACAACCCCTCTTGGTTCTTTCCTAAAAGCAGACAGCGCGCTTGTTAGTGGCGTTGAATCCCTTACCCTGTTCCTAACAAGCAGACGCCGCGCTAATTGCGGATGAGGACAGTGTGAGGCCTTTTCGTGGTCGGTTTCCCCCCCCCCGTACGTACCCGATAACCTTGACGACCTCGAACTTGTCCTCGAAGTTGGTCTCCTGGATCCACGCCAGGCTGCAGCTCAGGCCGAAGCTCCTCTGCTTGGTGCTGCTGCCGGGCGCCGCCGACGGCAACGCCTCCAAAAACTGGTCGCCCCGCACCCCTCCTCCAGTCCCCTTGCTGGTTTTGTCGTTTGTTCGCGTTTCGTTGGTGTCGGGTGGGGTCGGGTCGTGGAGCGGCAACGAAAGCGGTGCACAGCGGGCGTACATACCAAATTCTGTAACCGTTCTTCTTTGGTCGTCATAACATGCTGCTGTACACGCGACCCAATCGCTGTACTTTGAAACGGTTGTTGTAATTTGTCGTGATTTTTGCTGCTGTTGCTCGCTTTTTGCCTTCTGGGCGAGTGCTTCTTCGGTCCGGACACCAGCCAGCACGTGCTGCTTCGTCGTCGAGAGCTCAAAAACAAACGGTTTATTGAGGAGGCGTCTTGATCTCTCACACTCTAAAAGAAACAGAGCAGCACAGCACTTGTTGTGGTACCGCCGGGGGTAGTACATGGCAGCGCCAACGTGTTGGCAGCCCGCCAACCGCATAAACGTCAAACATGGGCGCAAGTCGAAATTGGGTGTCGCTGTGTGTACCCCGCCCCGGCATACTGCAGATCCGATAGCCCAACTTCTGCCCGCACACGCGTCAAAACGGGCACTACGTTCGTTCGTGCCCAACGGCATCAGCTGTGGGTCTAAGAGCAAGTATCGCAGGCATGGGTCGTGTTGTGCGTGCCATCACCCGACTGTGCTATTGGGCTCGCGTGTGGTGCGAGGTGCCACATACACGGGTAGAACGCTGACCCGCCCACTTGCTGTGATTGCCCACATGTGCATGTTGGCATACGTGTGTGTCCGCTGAATACGCGAAATTTCAGGAACCTAATTACACTGATAACCTCCTCTGTGGTTCATATTCACGCTATTGCGTTGGCACCGCGCTGATTTACTGAATAGTTGTCCCTTCGGGTACTGTAGTTAGCCTCCGACTACGGAACGCGTCCGCAATGGTTGGACCAGTACAGAAGGCCCTGAGCACGGACTGACTCGTGAAGGTTTGTTGCGTGTACACTACCACCACCACCACCAACAACAACAACAACAACCGGGTAGGAACGAGCTTGTGGATGCGCCGGTTGAGGCCCAGACGAAGTAGATATTCAAGTGGTGGTGCGTGTATCGCCGCTTCGCTGCGTCGGTTTGTGTTACAGAACATTCTCTTGCAGCGAAGGTCATGTCTATCAGGGTTCGTGCCGTCCTGTCTATTATAGGCGCCGACGGATGCAAACAGCACTAATAGAGGTCGACGGGTTTTCGTACTCACCAGTGCGATATATATATACACATTTTCAGAGAGAGCACTGCAGTTGTCTCTCAGTTGACGCAGCCGGATTCGTGTTGTGGTCTTTGTGTGCATGCCATAGAGACGAACGACCTTGCGTTGGAAGTGCTGGAAACCTTGGGCGGAGTGGAAAAGCTCACGTGGATGATATACTTTTAAAGCATGGAAGACAACAACATCCTAGGTTGCAATGATGTGTGTGTGTGTGTGTGTGTGTGTGTGTTTTTTTTTTTTTTATTAGCATCGACCGCGCTAACCGGCTGACCAATGAAAAGACGTCAGTCTCAGTGCGGCGGGAAATACAAAATGTTTCCATAGTCCACTATCTGGGACCCCGGGACCGAGCGTCGTAGGGGGAGCTACGCTATTCTCAGGATCAAAGACAGATACCGTAGTAATAACAGAAGAAAACTGCACGTGTCTACTAAGACTGCCACCCTGCACTCGACTTCGTTTAGGAGTGCTCTATCATTCTTCTTGCTTTCACCACTACTACCATCACTATTCTCATCGTCATTTTGGCAGTGTGTGTGTGTGTGTGTGTTTTTATTATTAGCATCGACCGCGCTAACCGTGTGTGTGTGTGTGTGTGTGTGTGCACGCGCGCGCGCGTGCTGCTACAGGACACGATAGTACAGCCGTACATCGTAGATATGAACAGCAGCAGGAGTGGATCGCCGCGTACACCGTCGGGGAAGAGAGGGTGCCGCTTCGCAAACTGGTCGGTCTGTACTTGTACATGATGATTTGCGACTGATGAACACATCTTCGGGATACAATAGTAGTAGTACGCCAGGTGTAAAATTGCTGCAGTTCGCCTTTCCTGGATTCACATACTTCCCCCCCATACCCTCAGCACAGCGTCCTCGACTTCGAAGCAGCTGTGCGATTGCTACAGTAGTGTAGGACCGAGGAGCAAGGGGAACGGCAGAGAGCTTGGCGGAGCTTGTCACCAACATCAACTGCTTGGGTAGGGTGACATGATTTTTGAGTCCCCAAATTGCAGTCCCGTGGCACAATTTGCAGCAGCAGAGAGCGACAGCAGGTGGCAGTTGACTGCTTCGATGGCAAACAACCAACACCCTGCGTCTCCAATGGTCATGCTCCACCACTTGCACGCGAACCAACTCACCTGCCGCTGCATCCCATCCCTCAGACAAGTACGCTGCTCCGCTTCCGTAGTTGTAGTCTCGAGATGATCCGGAACGTCCCGCAATCCGATGCCCACCAGCGTCAAGGCTCACCAGCCCCGCCAGCTACCCCGGCCCAGGCGAATACACAGCAGTTGGTAAGCTGCAGTTCGTTTTGGCCTGTTGGCTTTGGTGTTGAATGACGAGGGATGACTTGAGGGATGAGCGGCGGGGGGGGGCTCGCAGACAGTAGCTGATGCGGCGAGATCGTCTAACTTACGGGATTACGGGATCTGCCACCAGGCCACTCCTTCTCCTTCTTCCTGTTGCCGTGCGAGTTGTGCTGTCTTGCATGGGCATCGAACTGGCCCAGTGGTGGCCTCTGGGGCGATGGGGGGTGGCCTTAGTGATCGCAAGCTACATGAGCGTCAGTGGTTTGAAGAAGAAGTCGCTCAACCGAAGCGGGGCAATGGCGGTGAGAGTATTAGACTATCCGGTCAAATGCAAAAGGTGCACCCGCTCGGCTAAAGCTACACGTACGCTGACATATCCGCCTGGCAATACGTATGAGTGTAATGCCGTTGCCACATTCCTATTTCGGGTGATCATGCTACGTGTTGTGGGCAAGGTTGCTGCTGTTGTGCTGCTGTCCAAACACGGATAAGTGGGTAAATTACCTCCATTCTGCCCTGCAGTAATATGCCGTGTTCTACATGCACATCAGCACAGATTTGCCATCGACTTTCTTCCCGGAAAGCATGGCCGACAAGACACAGATACCTCCTCCCCTCCCCGGCCTGCTCCCCGGCCGGGGCCGAAATCGACCTTGTGAGTCCCTCGCGGGCGAACCAGGCCACAACAGATAGTAGGTGGGTGGTGTCCCAAGGTGCAACTCACCGCCGCGCTGGCTCAGCGTGGCGGTGAGGATGCACAGACGGTGGTAGTGGCGAGAGGTGTTTGTGGACCTTGTCCCCGCGGCAGCAATGCAAAGCGGCAAACTGCACCTGGTAACCACCGTCGCGGAAAACGTGGCCCACGAAGCTGGAGGAGCAGAGAGATTCGTAAAAACCACGCGAGTAAGCACCGTTCGCGGGAGAAGGGAGATAACCGCGGGCGACGCGGGGGGGGAGTGCTGCACCCTCCTCGTCCAAACACCACAGGCAAGCACCGAGCCCTGCAAAGATGGATCGATGCGAAGAAACTCGCCGCTCGGATTAAACGGAATAAAACACCCCCCCAGCGCGAGGCGGACCGAGAGCGACAGGAGATCGCAGCGGGCGTGAAGGCGACCGCGAAGAAGAAGGCACGGGAGGGCGATTTATCGTTCGGCACGTTCAACGTACGCACGCTCGCCTACAGCGGCAGGAACCCCATCGGCCACAACGTGATGACGGTCATGCAGATCTGTGCCGCGACCGACTGTGATGTGATAGGACTCCAAGAGACCCGACGAGCGGGACAAGGCGCGATTACACACGACGGGTACGTGATCATCTGGAGTGGTGCCCGTGCCGGCACCAAGGACAAGAGGGGCGTGCACGGTGTGGGCATAGCGATTAAGGAGACCATGTGGGACAGCGTAGGCGAGGGAGGTAGGACGGTGGAGTGCATTAGCCCGAGGCTGATGAAGGTGCGCCTGCAAATTGGCCGCACCTGCGGAGTAACTTTCGTGGTGGGGTACGCCCCTACGGAAACTGCCCGCAACACCGCGGGCGGTGATGTCAATGCCAAGGACTCCTTCTGGACTGCTCTCGACGCAGAGATCCGGGAGGTCCATAGCCGTGACCATCTCGTGGTACTAATGGACGCCAACGCACGTACTGGCAGGAGGCGAGACGGATGCTGCGATGCCAAGATTATGGGCGCGTACGGACGCGACATTATGAACAACAACGGGGAACGACTTCTCGGACTGGCAGCAGACAACCGACTCTCCCTGATCAACACCTACTTCCGGACACCGAAAGGAGGAGTGCAGCATACGTTCCAGAGCTCCAACAAGGGGAAGGAGAAGCACCGCCTCGACTTCATCCTCATGCGACAGACGGACCGGCGTCTCGTACGTAATGCCTCCGTCAAACGTGTCGATTTCAAGGACTCTGACCACAACCTGGTGCATACGACTGTCCGCTCCCCCCCCCGTGTCGCACCCAACCGACGAACGCGGGGAAACAGCGGAAGCAGCCGGATCCGTATCGACCTCGAACGGTTGAGGAAGGATGTGCACCTACGGGCCGTCTTCCAAGACAGGGCTCTCAACCGCCCTCCGCCCACGGCCCTCAGCAGGCCAACGGGAGAGACCGCCGCCGAGCTCACCGCTGTGGTGATGTCGGCCGCTGCGGAGATCGCGCCGCTGGCGAGGAGCGCACGAGGGAAGGGAGGATGGTACACGAGCGAAGCGCAGCACGAGATTTCCGAAGCGTCTAGGGAGATAAGAGTGGCCCAACAGCAGCTGCGCGGGGCCTCAAAGAACAGCGACTTAGAGACGACCCTGAAGGCGAAGCTCAAGGCGGCGCGGAAGAAACGCAGCAGCGCGAGGTGGAGAGCACTGGAAAAGTTCTTCGAGGGCTATGTGAGGCAGCTCGAGAAGAAGAGCCGTGAGGGGGACCAGGCGGGTTTCTACAGGCACCTGAAGATGATCGACGTCGAAGGTAAGAGGCCACTTACCTCCCAGAACATCAAGGACGAGGACGGTAAGGTCCTTCGGGACCCCACGCTTACCCGCCAGCGGTGGGCGCGGTGGTTCCACAAGCTCCTTAACACCAAGTCGCCGACCATCGACCTGCATGCGACCGACAGAGTCAAGCAGTGGCCCACGTGCGTTCCGCTCGACGACATCCCGTCTCTATTCGAGGTTGAGGAGGCGGTGCGGGGAATGGCCAACAGGAAGGCCGTCGGGCCGGACGACCTACCGGCTGAGCTGATCAAGCTGTTCCTGGATGGAGACCGAGGCTTCCTCCGCGAATTCCACGCCATCGTCGTGGACGTGTGGCAGACGGGGAACGTACCGCAGCAGTGGAAGGACGCCACCATCAAGGTTCTGTTCAAGAAGGGGGACACGATGGAGTGCGGCAACTACCGGGGCATCTCTCTCGTTGCACACGCCGGCAAGGTGCTGCTTAAGGTCGTTGCAACACGCCTAAGCCACTACTGCGAGCGAGAGGGCATCCTCCCGGAGGAGCAGAGCGGTTTCCGCCCACACCGGTCGACGCTCGACATGCTGTTCGCGATCCAGCGGCTCCATGAGCTCGCGAGGAAGAAGAGTACTGCGGTCTTCGCGTGCTTCGTCGATCTCACCAAGGCGTACGATTCGGTGGACCGAGATCTGCTGTGGGACGTGCTCGGACGCTTTGGCGTGCCCCCGAAGATGCTGGCGGTCATTCGCCACTTCCACGAGGGCATGAGGGCGCGGGTTCGAACGGACGACGGGCAGTACTCGGAATGGTTTGACGTCGGCCAAGGTCTCCGACAGGGGTGCAACCTGGCCCCGCTGCTGTTCAACTTGTTCTCTGCCGCGATGCGCATGGTCGCAGTGACCGAGTTCGACAAGGACCCCAAGGTGACGGCGGATATGATCAAGATCGCAACACGAGTGGAGTGCACGGGCAAGAGGGGCAGGTCGGCGGGGAAGAAGGCGATGATGGTGACGGTCGCAGAGGCCCTGTGGGACATGCTCTACGCTGACGACGCGGCCATCGTCTCGCTCACGCCGGAGAGCCTCGAAAAGATGATGTCCATCATCGTGCGCGTGGCCGGCCTGTTCGGACTGATGGTATCGGAGCCAAAGACGGAGATCATGTGCATGCTACCGAAAGGGCTGGGGGAACGCCCGTTCGCGGTCAGCGCCGCTGGCCAGACGTACAAGCAGACAGATCGGTTTGTGTACCTCGGACGTACCATCTGCGCGGATGGGAAGGTCGACCGGGAGATCACGAGCCGCATCTGCCGAGCATGGAAGTGCTACCGCCGGAACAGCACTTCGATGTACGACAGGAAACGGGCCAACCGCCAGCTCAAGATCCGACTACTCCAGGCTGAAGTGGTGCAGACCCTCCTATACGGGTGCGCCTCGTGGAGCCTGGCAGCGGAGCACTACACCAAGCTGAATGGGACCCACCGCCAGTTCCTGACACGGTGTATCGGCTGGAGCAAGCGGAAGCGCTCAGACCGACCCCTGTCCTACGCCCAGGCCCTCATCCAGGCAGGCTGCGAGGAAACCATCGAGGCCACCGTGCGCAAACGGAGGCTGTGTTTTGCGGGCTTCGTTATGCGCATGGAGGACAACCGCCTCCCCAAGCGCATGCTGCTGGGAGCGATGGCGGGGGGTACCGGATACCGGGGCGGGCAGGAGAGCGACTGGGTGTATCGCCTAGGAGAGGACCTCGTGGCGTTTGGCATGAAAGAGGAGAAGGAGGGGGGGAGATGGAAAGAGAGCGCCAAGGACCAGGAGGCGTGGTACGACAAGATCGAGGACGGGGCGGCATGGTTCATGAGGAAATGGCACAGACAGGAGGCGGAAGCATCCGCGAAGCGCCAGCGCCAGCGCGCGGAGGAAGCAGAGACGGAGAGTACGGCCGCCCCGGGCCCGAAGAGAAAGAGAATCGGGGAAGCGGCGGGGGGGGGGAAGAAACGGCGACCGGACACTGCTGTAGAAGCGAGTAGGGCGGCCAAGGCCGCGCTTGCGGCGAACGACGTACCCAACTGATGATGTTGTCGCACCCTGTGTTCCCTTTTCCCTGCCGTAAGCTGTATGCTCTTAGTATTGCCTCCGGCCTCTCTTTGTGCTTTTCTTCTTTCTTTCTTTCTTGTTCTCCATGCCCTCTCTACGATGATCTTGGACGATACCTCGAGCTCCTTGTTATTTTTGTTTTTTCCTTTGCTGGCTGCCTGCCACCTCTGCTGCCTCTTTGGTGCGGTGCCTACCCTACACTAATGCGCTGGTGCATACTGCACTGCTGTAGTACCTGGTACTGGTGTACGTTGTCCTTCGATTTTTTATTTTTTTTGTGGGAATATATATGTGTTTGTTTTTCGCCCCCCGTCTTGCTGCACCCCCTGGGGTGTGGTGCAGGGCGGGGGATGCCTGGTCGGCGGGAACCCGGCACGGAACCCTCCGGCGTTGTAGGCGGGTGTGGGAAGCGTTCCCCGTTCTCCTTTTATTTTATTTTGATCGGTCTCCTCGACGCTCTTTCTCGTTTGGTGCGGTAGCTGGTCTTTCTTTCTATCATTTTGTTTCTTTTCCGAGTGGTTTTTGTACCCATTTTTTTCTGTTTCTTCGTGGGGTCGTGTATGCCGGGTTTTGAGACCACGGGCTCCCAATCTTTTTTTTTATTAGAGCTAATGTGAGAAACAACAACAACAACAACAACCATAGTGGTATATTTTTTTTTTTTCTCCCATCATTGGACTCTGTCGTCTGCCCCTCTGGCCCCTATCCTTCACTTCTTCTCGCTAGACGACCCAACCGGGGTCACACAGGAGGGGGGGGGGTGGACCCCCTCCTGCGGTTCCTGTCTGAGATATTTTCATCGCGAGAAGGGCACAGCAATCCCTTCCCTCGCGACTTAAGAAGTCGATCATGGTTTAGCAACGACCTTGCAGCGCGTCGCTTTCATCCTAGACCAGGATATATGTATGCATACGGCTGAATACTGCTTGCTGCACTCAAGTTCGTAATTTTCCGTGGATACAATCACCGATGTGCACGCTTTCCGTGCGGTTTCCGCGCCGCTCACTCGCACCTGTGTCGTCCCGCACACCTTTCTTATCTATGCTATCGGATGCTGCTGCTGTTACTCGCAGGCGTTCTTCGTCGGGTTGGTTTCACTCGGACTCTCTCTGCGCTTTGGCCTGACTTTGATCCTCTTCTACAAGTCGAGCTCCATCCTCACCAAAGTCGGCTTCGAGCGCAAGGCCAAGCTCACAGATGACTACAAGGTAAGTGTCTGGTAGGTTGCTTGACGTAAGATGCCATAACCCCCTTGGACTGATTTTCAGTGCACACCTGCCAACCTTTGGTTGAAAGAAGAGACACGAGAACGAAACCTTAATATTGCGTCCCCAAAACTAAAAAGTATGGAGTAAATACCCAAAACAAAATCAAGCACCACCCACTCTCCCTTCTTCCCCTCGCTCCTCGACAAGCTTTTGCTTAGACATGGGTTGTAGTGAAGGGGGGGGTCTTTCTGGCGAGCAGGGCTAGACTCACCCTCAAGGGATGACCGAAACCTTCTTGCTGCTGCGCATCCGCCGCGAGGCGTGCGTGTGGTGGTGGAGTTGGGTCGGCACTGATGGGGTCAGGCGGGAAAATGTAGATGCGCGGGCCTTTCTGGCCGTCGGCGTTGGCAGTGATGCCCATCTCATTTTTGTGCGCGGAGGCAGACACCATCAGAAAGGTGGACGGGCACTACACGGCCCTAGGTATGCTAGGGGGAGCTGTATTGCCT